CTACTACTACTACTACTACTACTACTACTACTACTACTACTACTACTTACTACTACTACTACAGAAAGACCAACGAAACTACTAACACTCTTCTCTTTGAAAGGAAGTCCAACGAAACCAAAGAAAAGTATGCTCATTCAGTCTTTCGTTGAAAGCAAAACTAAGACTGGAGAGATTGCCGTTGCAATTATTCCTTTCTTTCTAAAGAACAAGTCTCCTTCATCTGCTGTGTCGCTACACCCTCAGCCATCTCCTGACAACAGCATCCGGTCTGGCCAGCCAGGCAAGTTAGTTTTTGCTGGTAAGAACAATGGTCCAAAGTAATGCGAGATGCAGTGTGGTGGCAAATGACTCCCGTCTCTACTTGCACAAGTTCACTGAGCAAGTCCATGCAAGTCCCTTGCTCCTGCTGATCCAAGTGCAGCACATCCAAGTAGAGCACTGTTCGAAGCGTTTTGGGAAGGCCCTTGCTGCGGCAAGGACCATTTTGGTGCAGTCTCGCAGCCTGTTAGAGCCTTGCCCCTACTTGAATGTGTACCGGCCTCATCTACTGTATCAGGCACCAAGTATGCCGCGATCAGTAGCATCCACATCTGGGTCCAAAGTTCAGCAGACCAAAAGATGTTTGTTTCAAGCACTCATGTTTGTAGGGTGTACAGTAGACTCTACGGTGTAGTTCTGTAAGTCCATTCCCAGCATTGCTAGCATCCGGTTGTGAAAGCCTTCTGAAAATGTCTTCTAGCAAGGGCCAAAGCACGCGTGTTGCTGAGCATCCAAGCGCTGTGAAGGAGAAAGGCTGGCAATGCAAAAAACTCCACCGTGCGAACCTGCAGTGAGTCAGTGGCAAATCCTGATAAAAAATGTTTGTCTTCGTTGTCTGAGGTCCTGACAGAGAGTGAGGGGACCAAATGGATTAAAATACCTCAGCTGAATCTTCCAAAAAAATGAATATGTCTATATATATATACATGTATTCCAAAAAAACTGGAAAAAAACGGAACCACATCTTAGCACCTTGAAAAAAACTCGATGCCAATCTTCCCAAGTGGCCAATGTAAAGAGGTGGAAAGGCCATAAATCCGATCCTCGGACAGAAAGGACAACAATCCAAGGATGAACACAGCGAAAATTGAGACACCGATTTCGAAAGGGTCTCCAAACATGACTTCCCACCCAATAGCGATGGCCTACCAGGCGAAAATTGAGACGCCGATTTGTCCCGACCGGGCACCCCAACACAGCGAAAATAACGCTCCACTGCTGCAGCCCTAGCATGCACGGGAAGCTACAAAGGATACAGCACTCATTAGCAATCCACAATCGACTTTATTGTCTAGACTTCCCACCTGATCACATCTGAACCAGCAAACACCACATGTTGGCCTTCTGCCATATCCAGTCGAAGCAGCAAAAGCGACCTGATAGCAGAAATCCATCAAAGGTATGTCAGACCGGTGCATTTTACATGTAGTTTACATGTAGATGGCTGTGGGTCAAAACCCGGGCACCCTGGGTGACCCCCGAAAATGTGTCAACCTCCGACCAAAAAAGCCTGGACCTTGTGGAGATCTTGAGTGAAGCTTTCTGATACAAGTTGACACTCGAGTAATTGCAGAGGTTGGGACCTCGTTTAGTCAGCTTTCTATCCCTTACCTTGAAATGCAAGCTTGGCCTTGTCTGACAAAATGAGCTGAGGGAAAGACAACACTTGGACGCCCAGTAGAGATAGGGCTGCACCAGAAGGAGACTGCGGGATTCTCACGCATTCCAAGTAAATGGTAGTAATGTGAGTGAGATCAATACGCTGCAACTCTCAAACGTAATCACATCCATCACAAATGCAGTGTGAGGAGCCTCATCACCTATAGCCCCAACGATGTAGTAAGACAGCGCTTGCAACATTTGGTTGATGCCTCCAAGCATGAGTGCGGGATGATTCCGGAAGAAGTACATGTGAAAATCCTACAACCTGAGCTGCGGGATCTCACCTAAGGCCATGCAAACTCGAGCATAGGCATCGTAGAAGAGCCAACGCCTCTGCTCCTGCGGAGTTCAAATATGCTTCGCTTGACTGAATGCAAAGGAAGTCATCAGTGAAATGAAACGAGTACGGACGGTGAAAAGAATGAATAAGGAATGAAATGAAGGAAATGAACTAAGAAATGAAGTCGGCCCAGTCAATGCTCGACAGGCGGCTTCAAAAAATGTTGCATCGGCTCCGGTGCTTGCGTCGTTGCTTCGGTCGGCGAATCTGAGTCGACTTTGCATCGTGTTGGCATCCGATGCTAGACGAAAAGTTGACACCACCTATTTGGTACTAGAAACAAGTGCATCGCTACTAGTAACAAGTGCCTTACTAGTAGTAACAAGAAGCTATTAGAAACACCACCTAGTTCACCTAGTCAAAGTTCAATCAGCTCCATTCCGATTCGATCCAAATCCGTCCTTTAAGAAGCGGCGGAAGTGGTACTCACGATCAAATAAGGCCTCCAGCTTGAAGACGAAACATGCCCATTTGATTTCACGGAGCTGTCAAATCATACTGAGTCTGCTTGAGTCTGCTTGAGTCTACTTGAAAGTACTTGAAACCCAAAACAAATATCTATATAGTATGGCATGTATGTCCAATATTTTGCACAAATGTAGAAAACGGCTTTGGATTTGCTGGAAAGAAACTCCTTTGTTGCAAGAACTGAATATCTTTGTTGTGTCTTGTGAGTCTCTCTTTGTTTTCTCGTCTCCTCGAACAGCTTGCGTTTCTCCGAACCTTTGCACCTTCCTGGATGGCAAGCCTCAGTCACCGATTAATGTTCAGGTAAACAGCTTCTTGCGCCAATGACAGAAGTAGGGGTCGTCAGCAAGACAACCAAGAAGCGTTACCGCTAACAACTGGGATTGAACAAGGCCTAAGCGGCCTAAAATGTTGTTACTCTAGACCTGGTGCTTGTCCTTGTAGACCCACAACTAACACCATCAAAGTATCAAGTCATTTTTGTCTACGGCAATATAAACAAAACATGTTTCTGCTGCTGATTTTGAGACTCGAACTCGGCGTCTGCGTCTGCAGCGCTCAATGTACTCAACCCAGCAGCAGCCCTGACCACATTGCTGTCAACTAAGCCGCACCAACTGAAAAAAGAAACAAACAGCAACAGTGTGCAAAATAGAAACCCTGGCCATGATTTTGTTTTTTTTTTTTAAGCAGTGTCTCAAGCTGTCTCAAGTCCCAATTGGCACGATGGTTGCACCTAGCAAGCTGGGCAGTCTCCCGGCGCAAAGCATCCTGGCAACACCACGATTGATTCAACGCAGTTGACCCCCAGTGTAGCACGATAGCACTGCGCAGCTCAACGGCGTAGCTACTAGGAGTTTCTTGCTACCAGTAGCGAGGGCCTTCTTGTTCCAAAAGAAAACTCCCCAACGGCGTTCCACGTTGGCTCTGTCGCCTCTTGTTGCTGCGCATCGCTGGCTTGCGCCTGACTGGCCTGGTGTCACATTGCCAAAGGAATGTGAGGCGTCATGAAATGTACGACATGCTGTCCAGACTCTTTGTTCGGCTATGCGTGAGTTCATTCGCCTCGGCCTGTGCTTTGGCCACGCCCAAGCGCTTTCCCAACATGCGAAAGCGCTCGACCCTTAGTGTTTTGCTCGAAGGAAGGTCAAAAAAGGCATTGCCTTACTACTAGGAGCAAAGGACGCTACTAGGAACAAGTGCATCGCTTCTAGTAACAAGTGCCTTACTAGTAGTAACAATGTTCGCTACTAGGGGCTCCTGGCCTTACTACTAGGAACAAGGGCATCGCTACAAGGAACAAACGAGAACAAACATGCCGGGCGAAGCAACGCAAAGGCCCAAACATCGGCACCAGTGGAGCCTTTGCGACCTTCAGAAAGAACTCTGACTAGTCTATACTTAGTCCGAAGTCTAAGTCATTCTAAGTCTACACTCTGCAAAAAAAAGAATACATATATATGTTAGAGAGACGTTCCGCATTTATTTCGTTGCGCGTGTCAGTTCGCACAGAAACTAAACGTCCAGCCATTTAGTTTTTTTAGTTTTCTTTGTAAAACTACAGGGCTAGACTCCTGGACATTTAGTTTTTTTAGTTTTTTTAGTTTTTTTTAGTTTTTTTAGTTTCTTTTTATTCAAAAAAACTAAAAAAACTAAAAAAACTAAACGTCCAGC